ATAGCCATCGTTCAGAATTGCCTATCAATATAAAATACGGGTTATATGTGGCAATAACACCCCCCCCCCCCCAAACACACACAAAATTTCTTGAATTATAGCTACATACAGTCATTGATTACTAAAATTACTTGAATCAAAAGAATGGGGCTTCACTTAAAAAAATATTTGAAAAAATTCTGGAAAGCAACAAATACGAATGAGGCTACTATACAAATAAAAAAAATCACAAAAGGACAATCTCCTTACTGTTACTTTGTAAGACTTGTTTTTCATTGACGCTTGCACAACAGCATTGACAACGTTTTCCTCGTTGTCGTAGAGGAACTTCAACACATGGTTACTATACACAGCGTTCTCCGATTTTCTCATAAGCTTCGGTTTGTCTGTGGTATAGTTCGCCCAGTACTGAATTGATATCGCCATTTGTTTGTTTGTCACCGGAAGCTCTTCACCGGAAGTAACAAAAAACGAGACTTACAGCCCCTATTCGAAATCTTGTGATGTGTGTTCTACAATTCAGTGATGCGTGCAATAAAATTGCATGACGCAACAGAAAAGTAAGGACAATTTTCATTGGTTAGAAATAACGAAAGTAGCTGAAGCGTCGGGAAAACCATGCAGGTGAGTAGACTGGTGCCCTGACATTGGTTCACGGGCGCAAGCGCCCTGAAAAACCAACTCAGGGCTGTAATAACTATACAACTGTAATTCCTAGCGGCAGCGACTGGAATCAAGGGCAGAGAACCAGTGCTAGCAGGTGAGAAAAAACACAATCATCAGTTTGTTTATTGCAGCACTTATTACGAGCTGCACGACTGTTGTTCCTGGTGACATGATGGAGATATTTCGGCCTGCTAGGGAAAAAACTCAGTAAACGTAGATATATTCAGTCTAGTCGAACCCTCAAACGGGGGTAAACGGATGTTGGAAATCCGTACCCTCAAACGGGGGTACGGCGCATGCGCAGACACTCAAAAAGTGCCGTTTTCACGGAAAAACGTGTGGTCCACAAAATATGCTCGTGCAAAGTGATGGATTTTTTCGTAGCTCTGTATGTACTCAAATTTGATAGATTAAAGAGGTTTAAAGAGATTGAATTGCGAAAAAGTATATGTTTATTGTAAAAATCGAGACTTTTTCTCTCCCAAAGTTAGCGTTTTCTGTGCCTTGACCTCCATGTTTGATACAACTAGATTTTTTATGCATAATTTAATAAAACGGATGAATAAACAAACAATGTTTTGTTTAAAGTTAAACTACATATAATTCCGTTCCCCGGTATTACAAATTTTGTGTATTAACATGTTATTTATTATTTTTCGACACTTTCTTCTGTGCCCGTCCGAATTTCCTCTGTCTTGTAAACAAACTTTTGTGCTTCAGAAATGAGGTAAATAAAAACGAAAAGTAATTTATTATTTTTTTGAAATTGAAAACAAAGGTGTAGACGAATCATTTTTGCATGTTTGTGATTTTTTAAAAAAATACATATTTTTTAAATAAGAAGAGTTATCGTTCTTGAATTTCGTGCGTTGCATTAAGGGAAGGAAAACCCTCGTTTGGGGGTATACCCCCGTTTGAGGGTTCGACTAGACTGATATTGACAAAATTTGTAGGTACTTGTAATGATATGTCACGATGCTGCATTGTCAGATACAGTATTTATACATGCATGCTAAAAAGTTAAATCTCGTAGTAATCAATATAGCAGAAGAATAATGAAGAGTACATACTACAAAAACTGTGCAATTTGTAGCAAGATTAATTTTTGTTTAACAGCTGTTTTTATTACATTTTATTTCGTATTATTACTACCAAATACTGCTACCGTTTGTTAATGTTATGCACATGGTTATCTTGTACTTGCAAGTAAATGAAACATTTAAAAAAAAATAATGAAAAAATAAGTCTTTTAGGCTATTTGATAATAACATGCTAAATGAACAGGTTTTGCTTTTTAATTTTCCTTCACTCAGTCTTTGTATAATGTATATTTTTAGACGAGCTGATCGCCAACCAGGAGATCAGAATGATCGCATCTGCTCCTGCCACTTTAAGGATGGTAAGAAGGAGGGGGACCCTGCATATTTTGCATGGAATGAAGGAAAGGCCATGGATTTCTCTGATCCTGAATGTACAAAAAGGTGAAATTATTTTTCAAAATGTGACCGACATCTTGTTTTTGGATGGTGGGTGGGTGGAGTTTAATTGAGAATATTTTACTAATAAACTTTAAAAGGGTACATGTATAAACAGAGTAGCTTACAACTGAATAAAAAAATAATTCAAGTTTAATTATTTTACAAAGGAGGAAAAAACTCAAAAGTGAGGAGTCCCTGTCATCTTCACAGATGGACCAGTTGCAGATTCCACAAGCACCAAAATGTCAAGATCAAGAAAAAGTAAAGCTCATTTAAAACACCAATGATGACAAATGACCAACACTGAAACATTTTCAATAATTTTTAATAATATATTAAGTTCTTTTAACTGTACA